TCAAACTAGATGAGACTGAGGAATCATGAGATAATCTGGGCTTGTATGAAGGTCCAAAATCATTTACTACAGAGCGAAGAACTACAAAGAACTCTGAAAAATATCCCTGTCTCTTCCTGTTACAAAAGCCAATAAACAAAAACATATTTTAAGCTGACTTGTACGTTCTTGATTATAATAATCAGGATTTCTTATCATTTGAAGTACTAATACTGAAAAAAGTTGGGTAACTACTTGAATAAGTTTGAAATGAATTGACATCCATCTCAATCTAAAGTTAGGGGGTCACTGTTATTCACTATGACTAGATAAATATAACACATGAATGAATACTTTTCATATTTAGAGCATTTTGATAATGGTTAATAGTTGCCAGTAAAATTCAATAATCAAAGCATTGGTAATAATCAAATGAAAACAAAAAACTACATCCAATTAAGCATGTTAAAAGATTATTAAAATTTCCAAGGTAAAATGGTTCAAATAACCATACAGCAATCCAGAATAGAAACTGTCAGTTGTAACAATCAGAGAATTTTTAAGAAACTTATTGTGGATCAGTTGATTGGAAGTGTAAATAGGTCTTTGATTTAGACAGGTGGAAAAAGAAGATCAAAAAATGAAGTAGAAGGCTGGGAAGGTGGCTCAGTGGTAGAGTGCTTGCCTTGCATGCCTGAGGCCCTGGGTTCAATTCCCCTGCACCACATAAGCGCCCAGCCCAGAGTTCAAGCCCCACAACTGGACCAAAAAAAAAGAAAAAGAAGTAGAGGTTGATTAATATCACCAAGAACATAACGAGACAGGGAAATTGCTTCCTGCCCTGTGAGTTGGTACCTGCCCTGTGAAGCGGGTAAACACTGCCCCCCCTTTTTTTTTGCCTGTCCTGGGGCTTGAACTCAGGGCCTGGGCTCTTTCCCTGAGCCTCTCTGTGCTCAAGGCTAGCACCTTATCACTTGAACCATGTATCACTTCCTTTTTCTGTTTATGGGGTACTGAGGAATTCAACCCAGGTGTTCATGCATACTAGGCAAGTACTCAACCACTAACCACATTCCTAACCAAGCACCACTTTTCTTCCATGTGTGTGTGTGTGTGTGTGTGTGTGTGTGTGTGTGTGTGTGTACAAATATTATTTTTTCACAAGGTATACCCTTCAGTCTGTTGAATCAGTGAGCAAAAATGTCTGTTCTACATCTCATGTGTACAGAAACTTTTTTGTCAATAAAGATCAACTTCTACAAGCTGTGGAATTATCATTAGTCAAAATGACCTGGAAGTAGTGCTAAAGCCACAACTGAGCACATTGAGTCTCACCATCCCTTTCTGTTCTTCTTGTGGCTATGGGAAAACAAAGATCAATATGCTTCGGCATGAGAGTTTTAGACTAAAATTTTCATTTATAGCAAACAGTAACAAAAAAAAGAGCCTTAAGCATCCCCTGTCACTTTCAGTTTAAAAGAAAATGCACTAATAAACTCTTACCCATGGGTCATCTTTGACAACAGGCAACATGATGCCAGCTCTTATTAAAGACTATTCATATCAATGCCCTAAAAATTTCCCTTAAAATTACCATCTTTTGTATCCCTGTAACAAGATGTCATTTTAAAAGTGCCAATGAGAGACAGGATCTGTCACCACAGTTAAGTCTCAAAACCATTTCAACACCAGAACAGCAGCACCTCAAGGGTCTGGTTTTTGTTAGTATTATTTATTTGGGGGTTATCTGGAAAAACAAGAAAAAAAAACTATTTATCTCCATTGGTTTTCAATACAACAGCAAGTAAAGTATCACCTGTATATATTAGATATAGACCCTAAAAGTTTGTCAGAAATAAATAAAACTGTCAAAATTCTCAAAATACATGTCCACAATGTTTATGGACTAGCTAGATAACACATTCAAATCCCTCTTATGTTTAAACTCTATAAGCTCTAAAATAAAATCCATATGAAATATGGTAAGACTTGTTCATAAAAAGAGTAAAAAGAAGGAAAATCAAAACTTTGTATGAAATTTAAGGATGCTCATTTAAAACTATTGAAATAATGTAGTTGTGTCCAGATAAAGAAAAGATGAGGCTTTAATTAAATGTTAAAAATGTATCATAATTTGTTAATTGATCCAGGAATCGTGGGATACTTTGATTAGCAGAGCACTTCACTACTAGGCACAGGATTCTTGGATAAATCTTGACTTTGCCAAAACAATTAATAAATATATAAAAAACAAAAATAAAAGAGGGAGATCCAATAGTGGCAAATGGATTCTCTTAAGATAAACATAAATAGGCATACAAAAAATAGAGTTACATGAATAATGTGTAACCTGGATAAAAGTATCAATACTGCTTTCTGCAACCTTTTCAATTAACACATCATAGACCATCACCTCAAAAAAGTTTAAACTGGCACAATGCCACCAAGCCATGATTCATGCTATGTGCAGGTGAAAGCAAGAGGATCATATGTTTGAGGTGAGCCCAGGAAAAGTTAACGAGAGACCCTACTTCAAATCATAAACCAAAATTAAAAGACAAACCCAAGGTCCCATAGCATAGCACAAGTGGTTGAACACAATACCAAGTAATGTACTTGGCTTCCGTACCAATTAATGCAATTGATAGGATGCTGTCTTTGTAGATACATATAGTGAATGCACAGATGGTACTTGAAGATGACAAATCAACAACACAACAACATCCCTCTACCAAAGCATATTAATCATGCTAGGTTTACCCATGTGGGCAGCTTCAATTTCAGCTTTCAAAATTAGGCTCACTGAGAAAGATTCTAAATTGAAGTTCAACATAGATTACAACATACTTACCATATATGAACATATAACAAATTGTTTCTATGAGCTTTTTGGTTAGTTTCATATTTTTTCTTAATTTATTGGGGCTAAAATTTCAGAATTTATGTTGGTGATATGAGCTGACAATGGAACTATGCAAGAAGGTTCATTGAGAACAGAGTGAAATTCAACCTACAAATAGAAACATTTTGAAATTGAGCTTCCCCCCGAAGTTTTAAGAGGCTAACATAAGGCAGTATTAATTGATATTGTTAATGTGAGAGAATGCTACCATGGGAAAGAATGAGCTCACAGTTAGGAGACAAAAACATGGGTTTGTATTCTTTTTTGGGGGGGAGGGTCTGGTCGTGGGGCCTGAACTCTGGGCCTGGGTGCTGTCCCTCAGCTCTTCAGCACAGGGCTAGCGCTCTACCACTTGAGCCACAGCACCACTTCCGGCTTTTTTCTTTTTGCTTATGTGGTGCTAAGGAATCGACCCCAGGGCCTCATGCATGCAAGGCAAGCGCTCTACCACTGAGCCAACTTCCCAGCCCTGGGTTTGTATTCTGGTTCCGTTATTTACTAATTTTTATGGTTCTGGGCAAATTGTCACTTGGCCTGAATTTCAATTTCATTCCCTATATAACTAGTAAAAATTAAAGTATTAAAATCTAATAAAACTGATTATATAGGTATAAATATAGATATAGATATATGGATCTAATAATGGTTGTCAAAACCTTACTAAGCAAATTAAGATGAGATGGACATAGCACATATTTCCTTCCAAGTGCTAGAAACTGGCATGTACTCTTTCTCTAATCCTTAGTTCCTTATCCATATACCCTACTTGGAAAATGTTCTGACCTTTAGATTCTACATTAAAAAAAGTCATTACTAAATGTCTTCACTGGTGGTTTGAACACAAATTAATCCAGTTTAGAGGCTGCTAAACTTCTCCAAAAAGACATTTTACAGTTTATTTTTATTTTCATTTCTGTCAGTACTGGTTAATATTTGATATTGGATTCAACAACGCTGTTTCTCATTTTGTTGAATTCTTTTTCTTAAGGTTTGAGTTCATTTGCCACCATCTCAAAGTCACTTTCCAAACAACCTAAATCTTAAACAAACACAGCATGACTTGACACTACATTTTCTATATTTCAGTAAAGTCCCTAAAGTACCTAAATATTAAGTGCTATGTGGACAGGAGCTTGGTATTTTATTTCCAGATACAGCTCTATAAACTAGAACAGTGCTAAAATATACTATAGAATTGTAACTTTTGAAGGATTGAAATGTACGTTTTGTTCTTGAACATATTCTTTTTAAATGTACTAAAGATCTGTCCAATGTGTCATATTCCTCTTAATTATTGTAGTCTCTAAAAATACTAAGAAAGCCAGGAGCCAGTGACAGACACTTGTAATCCCATCTACTCTGGAGGTTGATATCTGGGGATTTGGGTTAGAATTAAACGGGGGCAGACAAATTTGTAAGATTCTTACTTCCAATTAACTAGCAAACAGCTGAAAGTAGAGATGTGGCTCAAGTGATAGAACACCAGCCTTAAACAGAAAAAGCCACACAAGAGTACAAGACCCTGAGTTCAAGCCATAATAATAACAGCGACACAGACACAGGCACACACACACACACACACACACACACACACACACACACACACACACAACACACACATACAAATACTAGTGAGAAACTCAGAATTCCTAACTTTTTGCAATCAGATCTAATAATAGAATTAATAAACCTGTAATACTAAGGCTTCATACTGGTATAATTTATAGGTTACATGGAATAGAAGTTTCATTGACCTTACAATGCTTTGAAGGACAAAGCAGTATCATCTGAGCTACTCTTTTGAAGCAAAAGAAACAGAGCTAATGTAAACTAAATGATAGCAATATGGAAAAAAAGCATTTCATATGTGTCACACTATTTAGGGCAGTGTAAAGCAGATGCCTTTGATGAGAATCACTTTGGAGAAACTTGATTGATAAACTTTAAAAGTACAGTCTTAATTTTAACTTAAGACATTATCCAAACTTTCATAATGATATGTTATTCATAATGACTTGCAATAAAGAAGACTGCAGTTTAAAAATCAATCAAAAATGACCACAGAGGTGCTTTTGTGCTAATAAACACATGCAATTTCATGAAGTGAAAACAATTTTACCTCTCACAATAAGTTGAGCAAAATTGGATACACCAGAACCGCGTTCTGACTGAGTTACGCAGCGATACAAATCCTGGTCGGTTTTAGTCACTTCTTGCAATCTAAAGGAAGCAGCAAATCTTCTATGATTGATGTTCTTAGTCTGGGCTACAGGTATATCTTCTCCATTTCGTCTCTGCAAACAGAAACCAATCCTTAAAAGCAAGTTCTTAACCATTCCATAAATCTAAAGTATCTTAGCAAGCAATATCAGAGATAAATTATTCTTGTTGCTAAATTACAAGGAAAAATCTCTACATAGACCTACAAGTCTTTCAAACAACTAAAGGGTATTAAGTAAATATAGGATTAAAAAAGTAAAAAAATAAAGAAAAGAACAGGGCTGACATTATAGTTGGAGTTCCTACAGCAGTGAATGAATTAACAAGAAACAAAGACTCCATGACAAAGGATTCCACCTCTGTGATTGCACAGCTACGGACTTTACACTGCTTTGCATATGCAGAGTGGTTTGTCCTTGCAGAAGATGCACATCACACACTGTATGGGGCTGAACTCCACAAAAGCACTGTGCCTTTGCCACAGAATGTCAATAAAATACTAATGAATAGAGTCAAACCAAAATCTACACTCTTTGCATCACAGTTCTCTTTGTCATTGACAGCTAATTCATTCATTTTGAATAAGCATTAAAAAAGCCTAGATGTTAAAAAAGTAACTGTAGACTTTCACATTGAAAAATTGGAACATATATGTATGATATAAGGTATCTTACATGAGACCAATAAGTATAAACTATAAGGAAAATGATTGAAAATCTCAACTATAATAAAATGTGAACCTTCTATCTATTGAAACACATCACAAAAAAGTGATTAAAAAAGACCTATGGGCTATGATATTTGTCAAAAAATAACCATAAAAATAAAAAAATGAGGACATGTAAAGATCTTCTACAGTTCAATAAGATAAAAACTCAATCAAAAAGTAGACAGACTATTAAAAATGTATATATCTAATAGTAAAAGGAAATCATTCATCTAAGTTTTTAAAGTTGTTTATTTTTAACATTATGTTCAACAGAGAAAAAGGCAAAGAGAAGCACTTTGAGAAAGAATTGCTTATTAGCCTTTTCCTGGTTCCTGTTAACATAATAAAAAAAATTCTTAGTATCCTTTATACCTGAAATATAGATTCATAGGAGTAGATATAGGAAATATATATGATTTTAAATATTTAAATATTTTATGATTTTAACAGAGTCATTAACAAAGAAGACATATGAAGAAAATACACAATGTTTATTTCTATTAATCAGAAAGGTGGGTGCATTAGTGGTAACAACAAAGTGGTTTCTATAATTGTCTTTGCATATTACAAAACTGTCAGGCTAATGCTTTAATCATTTTCTGACAGCCTTCATTACTACCTTACAACATGCACCTTTTCTTTCCTCATTCCTCTGCCTTTTCAGTGAGACCTCATATTCTTCTCCTTTACTTCACCATGCCACTTCTTCAAGGGAACTTACATCAGCCTCAAAGAATTCTGATTCATTTAATTTTCTATTGTTTATACATTGACAATATTGTTAATTTCTTTGCAACTATCCTAAATGTACTCAGTTCTGCAGAAATCATTTTCTCACATGAAAAATTTGAGTCATTGTCAAACAGATTAGCAACTGCTAAAGCTTGTGATTTATCTTCCATGTTGTTATAAACTACGATGTTAGGATCTTCTCTCTCTGTATGCGATTCATAGTTCCCTTACACTATAGAGTACACCTTTGTGCTCCTGTGTTGTGTCATAGATATAGCCCCAAATGCCCTTCACAGATCTGTATTCAGATTTGAGAACTGGCTTTAATATTTTTTATCTTCAATACAATAAGACATATAAAGTGCATTTATGTTTGGTATACTAAAGTTGTTCTGAGGGTAGTAACTTTGTTTATATTTACATGTGTTTTCTTTCCATTTCATGTTTTTATTTAAATAGTATCTGGATATTTTCTTCAAATGAATCATATTTACTAAATATGACAGAGACAAAAATTAGAGATTTCATTTTTGCTGTTGATTGCAAAGATTGAAGTCAGAGTCCACAAATTGCTCAGCTTGCTTGCTTGTCTGGCATTCTACCACTTGAGTCACACCTCGAGTCCAGCTTTATTTGTCTAGCGAATTGAAGATAGGCTTTTACACACGATCCTTCTGAACAGAGTCACAAGTAGCTAGGATTATGAGCATGAGCCACTCGTACCCAAATAAAGCCTAAGACTTTTTATAAATTATAACAATGTATACACAGCAATTCAACTTAAAAATAAAAGGAATCTATATAAATACTAAGTCTTTAGAACACCAAGATCTCCTTAATGTAAAACTTTTAACTTCACAGATAAAGTTTTGAATTTTATCTGAATCTATCCCATGAAAACAGACAGGGAAAAAAAAAAAAGAAAGTACAAAGTAAACAAATGTCTAAATAGAACAAAGTATTTTTTTTTAAAAAAGGGAGGTTTATGTTTTAATAAAACTCAAAGCAAGATGTAAAGGAAATCTATGAATCTAGGCCAATTTTTTGGGGGGGGAGGGTCGGTCGTGGGGCTTGAATTCTGGGCCTCGGCACTGTCACTCAACTCTTCAGCTCTAGGCTAGCATTCTACCACTTGAGCCACAGTGCCCCTTCCAGTTTTCTCAGTGGTTTATTGGAGATAAGAGTATCAGGGACTTTCCTGCCCGGGCTGGCTTTGAACCATGATCCTCAGATCTCCGCCTCCTGAGTAGCTAGGGTTACAGGCATGAGGCACCTATGCCCAGGCAAAGGCCAATTTTTCTGTATGCCCACCTCTATATAAAGCTCAAAAATGTGTATCTTACACAAAAATAAACAGCTTGAGAGTCTAAAGTTTAAATCCATTGAAAGCAACTACAACACTGAAAAAGAGTAAGAAGTAGAGTCTGTTCCCTAGAGTTAATGAAAATAGTCAGAAAAATATCTCTACAAAATACATCAAAAGAATAACCTAATATCCAAAGATTAGCATTCAAGAAAATGAGTCAGGATATGAAAGAATAAAATGGAATTATTAAAACTCAGCAATGAACTGATAGAATAATAATAATAGTAATAATAATAATAGTGAAAGAAAAACATTTTAGAATGTTTGCTTCACAAAATTTTTTGAGTACGAAATGTATTAAAAATGTTTTTATCTGATATACTTTTCTGTAGTGTATTCTGAGGCTTATTTAAACAATATTTTAATCCCATCATACTACATGATAGAAGTATTGAGAGATGGATACTAACCCTTGATGAAAGTTTTAATTTCATTTTAAGTCATATACTTATTTTTTCTAGCTATTAAAATTATGCTATTCTATGTACTTCATGTTTCTATTTTACCAGAATTTGCATCACTGTCATTCACTTTGGATAAGTTACCATATGTATATATGTTCTTACACTTATTGGTAATCAGGCTGGCCTAGAACCTTCTATGCATTGCACATTCAACTTCACAATGTTCCTAGTACAGCCCCCAGGGTCCTAGGAGTACAGGTAATTCTTAAGCCAAGCACAAAAAATGAGTAAGAGAATCCTTCCAAACTCATTCTATTCAACAAATGTTACCCTTAAACTGGAATTCCTGATGGATACAGATTTTTTTTTTATTTTATTTGTGAAGATACTGTACAGAGGAGTTACAATTACGTGGGCAGGATAATGCGTACATTTCTTACCAAGCATTGCAG